CACATACTTTTTCCTCCCTGCACTGTGAATGTTTACATGTTATGTGTAATTAAACCATGGCAACATCTAATGTTTGTGTAGTATTATGTTCAGCAGACTGTGTTCTTCTATTGTTGTGACTTAGATGACGTTCAGAGCACATTTTATGCCCAATTCATGCAAAACTCCATGTAATCCCAAGGGGTTCACATACTTTTTCTTGCAACTGTAACCCTTTGATCATCCCATCACCCAGCCAGTGCCATTAGTACAATTTCAGTATATAGAATTTCTCGCTGATCATTACTGCCACTAGCGACATCAGATAGCGCCAGGGTCTGTAAGCTCCTCTCCCAGCCAAGATCAGCTAGTGTTAGATTGCCCGCACACTATCACACTCATACTATAGGTTGCTGATCACCGCTATTACTACTATAGTGTTTGTACGGATCAATATATTGATCACGAACAGAACTATACTAGTGCCTCCTTTGTATAGTGTTCCCAAACATGCAGTGTTAGCAGGATCAGCCACGTTCGCTGTCGGCACTAGTGTTTATCTGTTTCACTGTTTTTCACTGAAGATTTGTTTCAGTTGTGGGACAAAGCAATTTATACGCACAACAATAAATTTCATATTCAGCTCATGCCAGACAATTCACATGGAAGCCTATCCCAGTTTCTGAATTTAAAACTTTTTTGGGCCTAACCCCCAATATGGGCATTACAAAAAAGAATGAATTGCAGTCATATTGGTCCACAGACCCGATCATCATATGCCCGTGTTCTCTGCTGTTACATATACAGTGAGGAACAGACGTATTTGAACACCCTGCAATTTTGCAAGTTCTCCCACTTAGAAATCATGGAGGGGTCTGAAATTCAAATTGTAGGTGCATTCCCACTCTGAGAGACAGAATTTAAAAAAAAATTCAGGAAATCACATTGTATGATTTTTAAAGAATTTATTTGTCTTGCACTGCTGCTGAACATAAGTATTTGAACACCTGAGAAAATCAGTGTTAATATTTGATACAGAAGCCTTTGTTTGCAATTACAGAGGTCAAACGTTTCCTGTAGTTCTTCACCAGGTTTGCACACACTGCAACAGTGATTTTGGCCCACTCCTCCACACAGATCTCCTCTAGATCTGTCAGGTTTCGGGGCTGTCGCTGAGCAACACGGAGTTTCAGCTCCCTCCAAAGATGTTCTATTAGATTTAGGTCTGGAGACTGGCTAGGCCACTCCAAAACCTTGATATGCTTCTTACAGAGCCACTCCTTGGTTATCCTGGCTATGTGCTTCGGGTCATTGTCATGTTGGAAGACCCAGCCACGACCCATCTTCAATGCTCTGATTGAGGGAAGGAGGTTGTTGCTCAAAATCTCACAATAAATGGCCCCATTCATCCTCTCCTTAATACAGTGCAGTCGTCCTGTCCCCTTCGCAAAAAAGCACTCCCAAAGCATGATGTTACCACCCCCATGCTTCACAGTAGGGATGGTGTTCTTGGAATGCAACTCATCCTTCTTTTTCCTCCAAACACGATGAAGTTTAGACCAAAAAGTTCTACTTTGGTCTCATCTGACCACATGACTTTCTCCCATGCCTCCTCTGGATCATCCAGATGGTCATTGGCAAACTTCAGACAGGCCTGGACATGTGATGACTTCAGAAGGGGAACCTTCCGTGCAATGCATAATTTGAAACCATGACGGCGTAGTGTTCTACCGACAGTGACCTTTGAAACTGTGGTCCCAGCTCTCTTCATGTCATGGATCAGCTCCTCCCTTGTAGTTCTGGGCTGATTCCTCACCTTTCTTATCATCAGTGATACCCCACGAGGTGAGATCTTGCATGGAGCCCCAGTCTGAGGGAGACTGACAGTCATCTTTAGCCTCTTCCATTTTCTAACAATTGCTCCAACAGTTGATCTATTTTCACCAAGCTGCTTGGCAATTGCCCCGTAGCCCTTTCCAGCCTTGTGGAGGTCCACAATTTTGTCTCTGGTGTCTTTTGACAGCTCTTTGGTCTTGCCCATGGTAGTAGTTGGCGTCTGACTGACTGGGGTGGACAGGTGTCTTTAAAGAGCTCAGACAGGTGCTACTAAGTTAGATTGATGAGTGGAGTAGAGGTGGACTTTTTAAAGGCACAGTAACATGTCTTTGAGAGACAGAATTCTTGCTGTTTCTTAGGTGTACAAATACTTATGTTCAGCAGTGCAAGACAAATAAATTCTTTAAAAATCATACAATGTGATTTTCTGAATTTTTTTTTTAAATTCTGTCTCTCAGAGTGGGAATGCACCTACAGTGTGAATTTCAGACCCCTCCATGATTTCTAAGTGGGAGAACTTGCAAAATCGCAGGGTGTTCAAATACTTCTGTTCCTCACTGTATACCCAACAAGGACCAGCAACGTGCTGGTACGTTGCTGGACCTTGAGTAGTTATACCAGGATGAAGTCTGCAGTCACAGGCATCATCTTGGTATCATTTTTTTGAGATGGCAGCTGCTGGATTACTTTTCAAGCAGCAGGAAGGGATGTCTTCCCCCCTCGCCTTCCATGGTTTTCTTGGGCTCTCCTGTCCCACTGGGGAACCCAAGAATGCAGCCGGCAGGTTCCGAAGGCTGACCATAAAGCTGATCGGAGACCAGAATGCTTCCAATCATCTCTGTGGTCTAAGAGACTGCAAGATGTGAACATTTCATAATTTCCATTTCGCCAGATATAAGCAGCTTCATTTTAAAATTGAGAAAAAATAAGGGCAGAAGAAAGATATAGAGTTTAATAGACCCCAGCTTTCTCAGAAAAGAGTACCTGTCACTGCCTATTGCTATCGCAGGAGATATTTAGATTCAAAGTGATCAACAAAAAAAAATTAAAAGGGACAATGTAAAAAAAGGCAAACACAAGCGGCGGTCCCGTGGTAGTATGTAAACAGAAATTGCACCATGCATGTGAAGTATTACCGCAAACTTCAGATCAAGGGCAGTAATTCTAGCACTAGACCTCCTGTGTAAATCTAAAGTGGTGACCTGTGAAGGCTTTTAAAGCGTCACCTATGGATATTAAAGATTTACATAGTTTATCCCCATTGCATGGGCGTGCACAATTTTAAAGCATGTCATGTTTGGTATCCATTTACATGGCGTAACATCATCTTTTGTATTTTATCAAACAATTGGGCAATATATTGTCTTTTTGCGCATTCAAATTCTAAAAAGTGTTTTTTTCCAAAAATGTTGCTGCGTAAATACTGTGTGTGTGGTATTAAAAAAAATTTAACACCCACCGTTTTACTCTCTAGGACCTCTGCCTTAAAAAAATATATACTGTTTGGGGGTTCAAAGTAAGTTTCTAGCAAAAAAAAATGTTTTTCATGTAAACAAAAAGTGTCAGAAAAGGCTTGGTCTTCAAGTGGTTAGAAGAGTGGATGGTGTGTGGCATAAACTTCTAATGTCGGCCCTGAAATGCCAGGATAGTAGAAACACACCCCCCCAAATGACCCCTTTTTAGAAAAAAGACACTCCAAGGCATTTGCTAAGGGCCATGGTGAGTATTTTGCAGATCTCATTTGTTGCCACAAGTTTTTGGAAAATGAAAAAAAACGAAAATGTATTGTTTTTTTTTTTTCCAAAACCCTGTGACAAAAATACTCACCATGCCTCTTATCAAATTCCTTGGGTTGTCTACTTTCCAAAAGGGGGTCATTGGGGTGGGGGGGCGAGTTTGTACTATCCTGGCATTTTAGGGCCTCTAAAACTGTGATAGGTAGTGAGGAAGTGACATGAGGAAACATGCCCTTTGAAAGCTTGGAGGTGGTAATTGAATTTTGGGGGGTCTTGTACTTCCCTGGTATTTTAGCCCCTCAAGAAATGTGATAGGCAGTCGGAAAGTAAAAGCTGCATAAATTCCAATATATATACTATAGTTTGTAAACACTAGAACTTTCACACACAAACTAATTAATATACATGTATTGGGACTTTTTGTTACCAAAGACATGTAGCAGAACCCATTTTGGCCTAAATTTATGACTAACTTTGAGTTTACTGGGGGTTTTTTTATAACTGAAAGTAGAAAATATAGTTTTTTTTTTTAAATTTTCAATCTTTTTTTATTTATATCACAAAAAAAATAAAAAAAAAAACCCAGTGGTGATCAAATACCACCAAAAGAAAGCTCTATTTGTGTGAAAAAGGACACAAATTTTGTTTGGGTACAGAGATGTATGACCGCGTATTTTCCAGCTGAAATCGGCCTGGTCATGAAAGGGGGTAAATCTTCTGGAGGGCAAGTGGTTATAATCTTCTGTAGATATCCACGGGTTTTATGCCTTCATTCACGAGAAACTTCATCAGCACACGTTGTTCCATGCACGCACTAAAATTGTTGTCTGCCATCTTGATTCACAGTCTCTGGACTGGTCCGAACACATGAGCTACTTATCAGTAACAGGACACGCTAGCATCCCTTTTTATACCTGTAAAATTAAAAGTCCCGGTTTGACGAGAACGCCCCTCGTATTAATGAAGGTTAACAACCCCTTTAACCCTTCAATATGAGTTCCAAAATGAAAAAAAAAAAAGGTTTGGCTTTTGATATGCTAAATCTACAACCTAATTAAGAAAACCTACAAAAGAAGCTGAGGGCCAAACTGGAAAAAGGTTGAACCAGGGGTGGACTGACAACTCATGGGGCCCCCAGGCAATAGGGGATCATGGGGCCCCTGTGTCCTTGCCCAAACTCAAAAAAGCCTATGAAAAAGGCACCAAGGGGCACCTCATGGGGCCCCCTACTGACCCCGGGCCCTCAGGCAGTGCCCGAGTTTCCAAATGGTCAGTCCGCCCCTGGGATGAACATACTTCAAACCGTGAGAAAATGTGTTTCTGACAGATGCTTGTATCAGCGGAGTTGTTCTGAATACACAGCAGCAATAGAGGGCGCTATTCGCTCTCCTCTTCTCTCTGTCCCTCTATGTCGGCTTCCTCTATGGTGTTTTGCTGGGCATTTCCGGTGACGAAGTTCCTGGTGGGTGACCCCTGTGTGTGTGCCCGCACGTTGTGAAGTCATGTCACCCTCGGATCCTTCTTTGGAGGGCTCGCTCATCGCAGCCAAGAACCCGGACATTGAGGATGAGGAAGATGATGACGACGATGAGGTGATTCTCGTTTTAGTGGAGTTGGTATATTTATCGGTTTCCATTGCAGGTCCAGCACACTGAGCACACTCTGTGCCATCCTCCGGTTATATCTGCTGAGGGACTGTAGAAGTAAAACGCGCTGAGACCTTCTGTTCCACAACAGAAGTAAGACTGAGGGTGGCTGGCCTGCTCTACCCACCTGGCTGGAAGAAACAAAGCACACCTAGGTAGAGAACAGGCTGCGGCAGTACAATGGGAGGGGGCTGCTCTCTATGCCCAGAGCTACCGGTGTCAATCTTCCAGCATAAAACGTTGAAGGGGACTTTAGCTCCATCATGCTAGGCTCCCTCCCTGGCAGCCAACCCCCTCCTCCTTGTGCTGCTACTATTCTCTAGTTGAGAATGACGTGTCCAGATCTCCCAGCATCTTGGGATACCTACATCACATATCCCAGGGGACCAAGAAACAATGGAGCTGGAACGTGTCATTGTGGGTCGGTAATTGGAACCCAGAAGAGGCAGCCTATTAGTGATGACGGAGGTGGACCAAAATGGCGATGTCGGACCCAGGCTGGTACACCTGAGCAGCGGATCGCAGTAGGGCAATGCAGAGTCTGTTCGGAAGGTGAGTATGTGAATTGAGGACGATGCTGCATGACAGGAAGGAGAGCTTAAAGTGATTGTGAAGGTTTGATTTTTTTTTTTTTTTTAAATAACCATAGTATACATACCTGCTCTGTGCAGTGGTTTTGCACAGAGCAGCCCCTCTTCTCAGTTCCCCCACAGGTGCTCCTGGCTCCTTTCCTGATTGCCCCCACAGCAAGCCACTTGCTATGGGGGCGCTTGTGCTAACTTGATCCTAGGCCAAGTTCTCTGCTCGCTGACAGTGATTGAGAGCAGCAGGGGCTAATGACTCTCAATGCTATCTCTGAGCCAATGGGGAGGGAGAGAACTGCTACTCTTGTGCACAGCACTGGATCAACATGGGGCTCAGGTAAGTATAAGGTGGTTGGGAGGGAGCTGCACACAGTTGGTTTTTTACTCTAATCCATTCATCCCTTCCCCGCCACCCTAAAGTAGAAATACTGCTACAGGGTGGCAGGGCAGTGCAAAATCACGTATTTATACGGGACTTGCATTTGGGTATAGGGAGCGCATGCACCGTCCTACCCACGCCGCCATTGGCGGCTACAGATGTCAATCACCGGGTCCCAGCCAGAGATCCCCTGTTGCCGAGTAATACTGATGACAACACTGTAAACAACACAGGTCTCTCTCCTGCCAGCATGAACATGCTGCTGTGTATTTCTCTGCTAGTAGAACACACACAGCACATTATGTAAAACAGCACACCGGTAACCCTTTGATCGCCTCAGAGGTTAACCCCTTCCTGCCCAGTGTCATTGGTACAGTTTCATTGCTTTTTATTAACACTGATCACTGTATTAGTGTCATTGGGATGTCAGTGACAGTTCCCCCCAGTGTCAGAATGCCTGCCACAGTCCCGCTATAAGTCACTGATCGCCGCCATTACTAGCATAAAAAAAAAAAATTCCAGTATATATACAGCCATTTGTAGACGCTATAACTTTCATGTAAACCAATTAATTTACACATATTGGGAACCTTGTCCCTGTCAGGAGCTTCATGCCCCGGGGGATCAGGGTAGTGGTCCATACCCTTCGGGGGAAGGACAAAGCACACCCCTAAGTGCACTTTTTCGTGTGGTGTTTTTGCACTTGCACTTTTTTTGTGAACACTTATGGGTTTTTTCGTTATAGTTGCACGTTTGCGGACTTAAAAAAAAATTAATTTACACATATTGGGATTTTTTTTTTAGCAAAATACATTTTGGCCTAAATTTGACGAAATTTGATGTTTACAATTTTTTTACTGTATTTGTTTTATAGCAAAAAGTCAAAAATATTGTTTTTTTTTTTTTTTTTTTTCAAAATTGTCTGGATTGTTTTGTTTATATGCTAAAAAATTAAAAAACGCACAGGTGATCAAATACCACCAAAAGAAAGCTGTATTTGTGGGGAAAAAAGGACATAAAGTTTATTTATGTACAGCATTGCATGACCGCGCAATTGTCAGTTAAAGTAATGCAGTGCGTTATCACAAAAAAATGGCCTGGTCAGGAAGGGGGGTAAATCCTCTGGAGGTCAAGTGTTTAAGGTAAAAAAAAACTTCAGCATTTAATACCACTTTAAAAGAACAGCAGGGGAGCATAGTTCCTCTTTAAATTGGTTGTAAAGGCAGAAGATTGTTTACCTTGCTGCATAGAATGCAGTAAGGTAAAATACCTTGTGTATGCAGCAATATGCACAAGATCCAAGGCTGTCTTGGCTCTCTCACTCTTCATTGGCTCGTAGAGCAGTTGGCTGTGACTGCTGTCAATCAGAGCTAGTGACGAGGAGCAGCAGGCAGGGTTGAGCCTCATTCTTTGTGTCATATGGACACACAGAACAGGGCTCAGGAGCTAGCTTGCATGAGTGGCTTGCTTGGGGGGAGATTGGGGAGTGGCGGAGTCTAGAGTGCCAGCGAGAGACTCCAGAAGAGGAGGGTTGGGGCTACTCTGTGCAAAACAATTGCACAGAACAGATAAGTATGGCATTTTTTTATTGAAAGAAAAAACAATGAACCTTTATTATCACTTTAAAGTGTATCTGTACCCTGAACTGGTTTTCAGTTTTGGATAGAATGGGGAAGGGTGTAAATGCCTGTCAGGTGTTAATGCAGTCTGGGGCTCCATAGGAGAGATTGCTTCAATTCCTGTCTGGTAAAAAAAGGTTGTCTCCAGGACAGAAAGTGAGGGGAAATCTTTTCAACACTGGAGAACTAAAAATGCTTTTTTTAAAGTAGGAAAAAAAAATATAGTATAAGAAGTTGTTTGGAGCTGTATGTCACAGGTATTTTATATTACTAACAGGTTTACTTTAAAGGGTACCTGTCCCAATGATGGACGTCCTGTTTCTTAATCCTTTTCATTCTGGCAACAATAAACACATGATATATCATATGACAATGATTATTATAATTCTCAATAGATTAGTAGTTTAACCACATGCTTACCGCGCTATAGCCGAATGACGGCTACAGCGCGGTTGTCCAGTTCTGGGAAGGTGACATATGATGTCCACCCATATCGTGCTCTCCCACGTGCCCCCATCGGTGCGCACCCAGCGATCTCCATGATCGCTGTGTTCTATGGACAGCGTCGCCCATCAGTACTGCATATCAGTGCCTCCTCATAAATACCCACCAGTGCCACCTCATCAGTGCAGCCTGTCAGTGTCCATCAGTGCTGTATATCCGTGCCACCACATCAGTGCTGCCTATCAGTGCAGCCTCATCAATGCACATCAGTGAAGGAGAAAAATTACCTGTTTGCAAAGTTTTATAATAGAAACAAAGAATAACTTTTTTTTCAAAATTTTTGCTCTTTTTTTTATTTAAAGTGCAAAAAAATAAAACACCCAGTGGCGATTAAATACCACCAAATGAAAGCTCTATTTGTGATGAAAATAATTATAAAAATGTCATATGGGTACAGTGTTGCATGACCACGCAATTGCAAGTGTGACAGCGCTGAAAGCTGAAAATTGGCCTGGGCATGAAGGGGGTAAAAGTGCCTAGTAAAGTCCTTATTACTTCTTGTCATGACAGGAAGTATTGGAGACACAGAAATTTTTTTTTTTTTTATGAGTGGGAAAGGGTTAGATCATCTAGCAATGTTTTTACTGCTGTACCCTTGCACCCCCCCCCCATTTCTTGTGGCACCACAGAGACAAAGTTATGGAAGATCTTCCTAGTTGGGTTACAAACTGAATCCCAGAATGTCAGAAGACAGGCATTCATTTTACCTTTCCCCTACTCCAAAATGTGAAGATCTCTTTAGACAAAAGTGAACTTTTCAGTTATTTATACATTAAGTAATAAAGTAGGATGCCTTTGCTGGCCAGCAGGATGGTGGGTGGGTGAGTGGTGGGTTGGTGTTTTTCAGCAGTAGTAAATGCTGAGTAGCTGTTCATACCTGTAAAAGACAAAGATCTCTGCTAGTCCCCACAGAAATTCCTATGCAAATAGTGGCTCCTTGAAAGTTTATTTGCATATGTTTAGGCATGCCCCCTAGCTGGTATTGCTAACATAAAACACTGTCACCTTGTGGGGATGAATACTAGTTTCAAGGATCAGGGCCCTCCTAGCCCTCTTGTATTGAACTGTATTGTTGCTGTATTGTCTCCCGTTATATTGTAAAGCGCTGAGCAAACTGTTGGCGCTATATAAATCCTGTATAATAATAATAATAATACCATCTTTCCCCAAATCCTGTATAATAATAATAATACCATCTTTCCCCAAATGGTCTGGGTGGTTGTGTAGAGTCACTAGATAATTTTAATCACATTGCCTCAACTATTTGTGTTTCTCTAGCTGGATGAGACTTTATCAGAAAGACTTTGGGGGTTGATGGAAATGTTTCCTGATGGTGTGCGTACTGCTGCTGGTGTAACCTTTGACTTGTCCATTTCTGCAGCCAAGAAGCTATATAGGTGAGTAAGCAATGTTACAAAATGGTAAAAGTAGGTGTTTCACCAAGAATACAGTAAATGCTTAATGTTGAAGTCTGCAAGCAGAATCTGGGCTGTGTGCAGGACTTTTTTTTTTTTTTTTCTGGACATTGATGTTAATTTGGAAATTGATTTTTTTTATCAACTATACTATAATTAAAGTGTTATTAAACTCACAACAGTAAAATCAGTCTGCATATTCAGTAAAGCATGCTTGATATACTCACGGTGGAACCTAAGGGGTTAATCCTCTGCATTATGTAAAAAGGCTGATTGATCCTGACTTCTCTATCCCTCTCTCCTTCTTCCAGTGTCCCCTCTTATCTCCTGATAAGACATATAGTGTGGAGACCCTACACTTTGCTCAGTTTGGTGTGTATTGCTAGAGAGGTTTTTTTTACTTGGGAGATCAGCACTGTCCAGACAGAGGTCAGGGGTTCTGCATCCTCCTAGAGCAGAAAGTAAAAGTGATCCAGTGGCTAGTTTGCTGCTAGGATTGCTTTTACAAAACAGTTGGCCGTCGGCTCTAAAAATGGTGTCAGAATAATGCCTGCGGCTGTAGGCTTCCTCCGGGTGTAACCGCTTGAAGTCCAGCAACATATGGTGCTGGTCCGCAAGTGGATAAACAACAACTGGATACTAGTGGGAACTGCCATTATCGTCTATATTACCAGCATAAAATGTAAGTTTTACTCCAGTTATGTTTTTCATTTAAAGTGTTACTAAACCCAGGACCCTGCATTCCCTCTATCTGGGCTCCCACAGTACACGGAAATGCAATTATTTTAGTAAATATGAACTGCTAAATACCTTTTCTCATCAGCATTAGAGCAATCTTGTGACTTTTATCAGTGTTCAGCAGAGCACTGGTTAAAGCTTGTAGGAGTTTTTTTTCTGCAGTAGGAGAATGCAGAACCCCTGACCTTTGTCTGGATAGTACTGATTGGTCCTGTGCTGATCACTGTACTCTCCCAAGAAAAAAAAACTTTCTAGCAATACACACCAAACTGAGCATGTGCAGAGTGTCTCCCCACGATATGTCTTATCAGAAAAGAGGGGGAGGATCAGAGAAGTCAGGATCAAACAACATTTTTACAATATGCAGAGGATTAACCCTTTAAGTTCCACAGTGAGTAAAATTAGCATGATTTACTGCATATACAGACTGATTTTACTATTGTGGGTTTAGTAACACTTTAAGTCACCCCCCTCCCTTTCACCTGCAACCTTCTGGGATACATCACAGGTCTCAGAAGATTGCAGGACCATTAATAATGCTCAGCTCGCCGTCATACCACTTCACAGCTGTTTTCCCTTAGTTAAGATGCCGGCGCCTGGACCCAAAGTCCATTAAAGTCCATCTGCTCGAGCGAGGACAGCGCTGGATCCCTGGACAGGTAAGTGACTTTATATTAAAAGTCATTAGCTACAGTATTAGTAGCTGCTGACTTTTATTTTTTTTTGGGGGGGGGATACTGGAGCTCCTCTTTTAATCATTTGCCATGCACTTGTTATGCACTTGCAGTTAGCAGATGACTTTTACGTCTCGCACACTGATCAGCGTGTGAGAGGAAAAAGAGCTTCCAGATCGCAGCACTCAGTATAAACTGGTACCAGTATCACCCAGCCCTCTGCAGTATATGTTGGCTCTATCCTGTCTTTGATCAGACCTGTACAATAAATTGGTTAAGGCTCAAGGTTTTTTACCTTCATGCATTATATGTGTGTACAGTGCCCCCACAATCCTTGCCTGATCCCCCTCCAATCCAGCGATGTTCTCGACAGCCTCTGCTGTCTGGGGACTCTAACTCATTGGCTGAGACAGCAGCAGGAGTCCTTTGGCTCACACTGCTGTCAATCACAGCCAGTGAGCCAATGAGGAGGGAGCTCAAAAAGCTATGGCAAAAATTAGATCGGGGGTCAGCAACCTGTAGATTGTGGCCAGGTGACTGGTAGATTGCAGTTTGAGTTTGCTATCACGTCAAAAAGTGTGTAATGCAGAGGGACTACTTGTAGTAGGAAGCAAGAGCCACATAAGCCAACTCCTCCTCTGTAGTGCTGGCTTCTGTCCTATGCAGATTGATACCAACTGCACTCCACCTTTTATCCCAGCTTGTGGTCTCCAGCGTGGTGCCAGCACCGGAAAAGAAGAGTACCGTATTTTCCGGCGTATAAGACGACTTTTCAACCCCTGAAAATCTTCTGAAAAGTCGGGGGTCGTCTTATACGCCGGGGCGAGCCGGTGTCAGGGCGGCACTTTTTCGAGGGGCGGCGCGGCGCCGCCCCCCCTCCTCCTCAACGGACACTAAGTACAGGGGTGGGCAGAGGGGCTGCTGTACCTTACCTGGCTCCGGTCCCACGACGATCCGGTCCAGGAAGCGCGGCTGCTCCTTCTTTCAGTTCGGCCGCTCGATGGGTCACGCGGCCGCTCGGCTCCGCCTCCTCACCGGTGATTGGGCGCCAGCACTGGAAAGGCAAACAGGCGACCAATCACCGGCGAGGAGCGGAGCCGAGCGGCCCCGCAAAAATCGAGCGGCCGAACTGGAAGAAGGAGCAGCCGCTCCTCTCCCCCATTGACACTAAAGATGGGGCACTATTCCTCCTCCACACTGACACCAACGATGGGGCACTGTTCCTCCCCCACTGACACCAACGATGGGGCACTGTTCCTCCCCCACTGACACCAACGATGGGGCACTGTTCCTCCCCCACTGACACCAACGATGGGGCACTGTTCCTCCCCCACTGACACCAACGATGGGGCACTGTTCCTCCCCCACTGACACCAACGATGGGGCACTGTTCCTCCCCCACTGACACCAACGATGGGGCACTGTTCCTCCCCCACTGACACCAACGATGGGGCACTGTTCCTCCCCCACTGACACCAACGATGGGGCACTGTTCCTCCCCCACTGACACCAACGATGGGGCACTGTTCCTCCCCCACTGACACCAACGATGGGGCGCTGTTCCTCCCCCACTGACACCAACGATGGGGCGCTGTTCCTCCCCCACTGACACCAACGATGGGGCGCTGTTCCTCCCCCACTGACACCAACGATGGGGCGCTGTTCCTCCCCCACTGACACCAACGATGGGGCGCTATTCCTCCCCCACTGACACCAACGATGGGGCGCTATTCCTCCCACTGACACCAACGATGGGGCGCTATTCCTCCCACTGACACCAACGATGGGGCGCTATTCCTCCCACTGACACCAACGATGGGGCGCTATTCCTCCCACTGACACCAACGATGGGGCGCTATTCCTCCCACTGACACCAACGATGGGGCGCTATTCCTCCCACTGACACCAACGATGGGGCGCTATTCCTCCCACTGACACCAACGATGGGGCGCTATTCCTCCCACTGACACCAACGATGGGGCGCTATTCCTCCCACTGACACCAACGATGGGGCGCTATTCCTCCCACTGACACCAACGATGGGGCGCTATTCCTCCCACTGACACCAACGATGGGGCGCTATTCCTCCCACTGACACCAACGATGGGGCGCTATTCCTCCCACTGACACCAACGATGGGGCGCTATTCCTCCCACTGACACCAACGATGGGGCGCTATTCCTCCCACTGACACCAACGATGGGGCGCTATTCCTCCCACTGACACCAACGATGGGGCACTATTCCTCCCACTGACACCAACGATGGGGCGCTATTCCCCACTGACACCAACGATGGGGCGCTATTCCTCCCACTGATACCAACGATGGGGCGCTATTCCTCCCACTGATACCAACGATGGGGCGCTATTCCTCCCACTGATACCAACGATGGGGCGCTATTCCTCCCACTGATACCAACGATGGGGCGCTATTCCTCCCACTGATACCAACGATGGGGCGCTATTCCTCCCACTGATACCAACGATGGGGCGCTATTCCTCCCACTGATACCAACGATGGGGCGCTATTCCTCCCACTGATACCAACGATGGGGCGCTATTCCTCCCACTGATACCAACGATGGGGCGCTATTCCTCCCACTGATACCAACGATGGGGCGCTATTCCTCCCACTGATACCAACGATGGGGCGCTATTCCTCCCACTGATACCAACGATGGGGCGCTATTCCTCCCACTGACACCAACGATGGGGCGCTATTCCTCCCACTGACACCAACGATGGGGCGCTATTCCACCCCACTGACACCAACGATGGGGCGCTATTCCACCCCACTGACACCAACGATGGGGCGCTATTCCTCCCACTGACACCAACGATGGGGCGCTATTCCTCCCACTGACACCAACGATGGGGCGCTATTCCTCCCACTGACACAACGATGGGGCGCTATTCCTCCCACTGACACCAACGATGGGGCGCTATTCCTCCCACTGACACCAACGATGGGGCGCTATTCCTCCCACTGACACCAACGATGGGGCGCTATTCCTCCCACTGACACCAACGATGGGGCGCTATTCCTCCCACTGACACCAACGATGGGGCGCTATTCCTCCCACTGACACCAACGATGGGGCACTATTCCTCCCACTGACACCAACGATGGGGCACGATTCTCCCACTGACACCAACGATGGGCACTATTCCTCCCACTGACACCAACGATGGGGACACTATTCCTCCCACTGACACCAACGATGGGGCACGATTCTTCCCACTGACACCAACGATGGGGCACGATTCTTCCCACTGACACCAACGATGGGGCACGATTCCTCCCACTGACTAATGATGGGGCACTATTCCTCACACTGACTAATGATGGGGCACTATTCCTCACACACTGACACTAATGATGGGGCACCATCATTGGTGTCAGTGGGGGGAATAGTGTCCCATCATTGGTATCAGTGGGAGGAATAGTGCCCCATCATTGGTGTCAGTGGATGAAATAGTGCCCCATCATTGGTGTCAGTGGGAGGAGTAGTGCCTCATCATTGGTGTCAGTGGTAGGAATAGCACCCCATCATTGGAATACCATACTGAAATAGCATACCATATTGAAATCAAATCTGATGTTTTTTCATTTTTATTTGGTGTGTGTTGGAAGAGGGGTAGTCTTATACAGCGAGTATAGCTCAAACCCTATATTTTAACAGGAAAAGTAGGGGGTCGTCTTATACGCCGGAAAATACGGTACTTCAGATCATTGTGAAGGAATACACTGGGCATTATAGTATAGGGCTTTTACACTGATTCACTGTGGTTTACCCATACCTTGGGTGCAGTGCCGTGTACCTACAACTTTCCTGTAGGTTTGCTGCGCTTAGCCATAGACTTCTATTATATCCTGCGGGTTTGGTGCACTTTCTGAAAACGCACCAAAACTCCTGAATGCAGGCGTTTTGATGCGCTTTCAAAATGTGCATCACACCTGCAGGGTCTAATAGAAATCTATGGCAAAGTGCAGCTAACCTACAGGAAAGTTGCAGGTAATCCACAGCACGTCAGTGTGAAAGCAGCCTTATAGTGGGCTCAGAACAGTAAGGGTTCATTTACATTTGCAATTCAGAGGGTTGTAAAACCCCATAGTTAAAATGTGTTTTTACCACCCCTGCCCCAACCTCACCCCCTCTAGCTGCAGTTGCTAGGGGTGTATATGGCGCAGGAGGAGTTATATGCCCTGTCATGGTTGGTGAGTGTAGCACCTACCAAGCATGACCCATTCAAGTGAATGAGGCCTCTCTGCAAGGGCCCTGCAACCTTGTGCAAAATAGCAAACATGGGGTTAAAGCAGGCAGTGTTGTGTTTCTGTCTCACCACCTGCTTTAACCCCATTGACCCCACAGAAGCATGCAGTTACGGGGTGCTTGCATTTACTTGAATGAGTTGCAACAAGCAGGCAATAGAAACCCACCAAAAGCAAGAGTGGGTATAATTCCTGCTGCGGCATGTGTACGCCTTTGGCTGCTGCCTCAACAGCTAAAGGCGGTAGTGATTGGGGGTTGTAAAACAGACAGCCAACTGTAGGGTTTTACCACCCCCCCCCCCCCCCCCCCCCCCATGTGAATGATCCGTTAGGGTGCCGCTGCCGAATGCAATTAAGGACTCATTCACAAGTGCAGCAGGCCCTGCTACGCCTCTGAAAAGCGATCAGAGTGTGTTTGACAGGTGGTGAGGAGGTTTTCTCAAAATTATTTTCTTTTTATTTAGTAAAAAAAACAGTGGTGATTAAATACCACCAAAAGAAAGCTATGTCTCTAAAAAGAAAAAAAAATTATATATATAATAATTTTTTTATTTTTTTTCATATTCATTTGGGTACAGTGATGCATGTCTGAGCTTGTCAGTCAAGCTATCACTGTGCTGAAAAATGGCTAGACAGGTAGAGAGGAATGGGGTGTAACGTGCTGGCTCAAACTAATACATTTTTCTGTATACTTTAGTTTTTCCCGGTCAGCACTGTGGATAGGAACCACCTCCTTCATGATTCTGGTATTGCCTGTAGTGTTTGAGACCGAAAAATTGCAGATGGAGCAACAGCAACAATTACAACAGAGACAGGTGAGAATGAAAATTACTGATGTAATAAAGTGTATTAACAGCTATTGCAAATATTGCAAGGGAGCCTCTTTCCATGTCTATATACATTTGTGTTAAAAATAGTTGCAGTGTGTTTAAAAAGAGTGAGTAAAGCTCAAAAGCCTTATAGTAGCTTTTATTTCCAGATACTTAAATGCATTGGGAACACTTCACAGTCTATTACAAATCAAAACATGAAGCAAAAAGTTTGAAATTTGTTATTACTTTATAGAAAGTGAAGAATTAGGTATATTCGACTGTTCAAAAAAAACAAAAAACAAATAGCAGTGTCTGCATTTTTCTTTACAAACTTACACATTTACTGTATAAACTTAAAAATGCTTGAAGATTTGGCTTTCCTGTGAATCACTGAACTAATATTTAGTTGTACAACCCCTGGCAAAAAGTATGGAATCACCACTCTTGGAAATTGTTCATTAAGTTGTTTAATTGTATAGAAAAAAAAAAAACACAAATCATAGACATGCCTCAAAACTATTTTCATTTAACATTCCAACCTTCTGGCTTTAAGAAACACTCAAAAACAGAAAAAAGAAAGAAAACTGTGGTCAGTTGCAACTGTTTTTGTAGATCAAGCAGAGGAAAAAAATATGGAATTACTCAATTCTCAGGAAAATATTATGGAATCATGAAAAAAACCCACTACAGTACACCACTAGTACTTTGTTGTACCGCCTCTAGCTTTTATAACAGGTTGAATTCTCTGAGGCATGGATTTAACTATCGACAAACATTATTCTTCATCATTCGGCTCCAACTTTCTTTTCTTGCAGTTGCCAGATCAGCTTTGCAGGTTGCAGCTTTGTCATGGACCATTTTCTTTAATTACCACCATAGATTTTCAATTGGATTGTGGTTCGGACTATTTGCAGGCAATGCCATTGACATTATGGGGTTTATTTACTAAAGCTGGAGAGTCCAAAATCAGACTCCCTTCTGCATAGAAACCAATCAGCTTCTAACCTCAGCTTGTTCAATGAAGCTTTGGCAATGAAACCTGGAAGCTGATTGGTTTCTGTGCAGAAGTGAGTCTGATTTTGCACTCTCCAGCTTTAGTAAATAAACCCCTATATGTCTTTCTGGAAGGAAAGTTTTTATGGCTATGGCAAGATTACCATCCTGAAAAATGTCATCATCACCAAACATCCTTTCAATTGATGGAATAAGAAAAGTATCCTAAATCTCAATATAAACTTGTGCATTTATTGAAGATTTAATGACTGTCATCTCCCCCGTACCTTTACCTGACATGCAACCCCATATCATCAATGTGGAAATTTGTATGTTCTCTTCAGGCAGTCATCTTTATACATTTCATTGGAACAGCACCAATCAAAAGTTCCAGTATCATCCCCCTGCCCAATGCAGATTCGTGATTCATCACTGAATATCACTTTCATCCAGTCATCCAAGTTCATGATTGCTTTTGTTTAGTCCACTGTAACCTTGTTTTTTTTTTCTGTTAGGTGTTAATGACTGTTTTCATTTGGCTTTTCTTTATGTAAATCCCATTTCCCTTAGGTGATGTCTTACAATTTGGTCACAAACATTGAATCCAGTTTCTGCCCATTTGTTCCTCATTTGTTTTGTTGTGCATTTTCTGTTTTCAAGGCATACTGCTTTAAGTTTTCTATCTTGACTCTTTGATGTCACCCTTGGTCTGCCAGTACACTTCCCTTTTACAACCTTCCCATTTGTACTTGGTCCAGATTTTAGACACAGCTAATTAGGAACAACCAACATCTTTTGGAACATTTCGTGATTATTTACCTTCTTGAAGAAGTTTTATAATCCTCTCCTTCGTTTCAACTCAATTAAATGAACATTTTTCAAGAGTGGTGATTCCATACTTTTTGCCAGGGGTTGTATAAGCACTGCTTCTGAGAACTGCTGTACATCTGTGTTGCATGGAGTCAACCAACTTCTGGCACCTGTAAACAGGTATTCCAGCCCAGGACGATTGCACTACATTGCACAATTCCTCTGCATTTCTTGGTTTTACTTCAGAAATAGGATTTTTTATGTCACCCCACATTTTCTATTGGATTAAGGTCCAGGGGGTCCCCCCCACCCTTCCTGACAAGGCCATTTTTTGCGATACAGTGCAGCGTTACTTTAACTGACAATTGCGCTGTCATGCAGCGCTGCACCCAAATGAAATTTTCGTCCCTTTTTTCCACAAAAATAGAGCTTTCTTTTGGTGGTATTTGATTGCCTGTGTGGTTTTTATTTTTTGCGCTATAAACAAAAAAAAGACAATTTTGAGAAAAAAAACAATATTTTTGACTTTTTGCTATTAAACATGTCCAGCAAAAAATTTTAAAAATCTAATTTTGTCATAAATTTAGGCCAAAATGTATTCTGCTACATCTTTGCTGAAAAAATATCCCAATGCGTGTACATTTTTTTTTTAAATACTAGTAATGGCGACTTATAGCGGGACTGCAGTGGGCATTCTGACATTGGGGGGAACTTGGTGTCACTGACATTCCCAGTGACACCAATACAGTGATCAGTGGTAATAAAAAGCACTGACACTGTTCTAATGGCACTGGGCAGGAAGGGGTTAACATCTGGGGCGATCAAAGGGTTAACTGTGTGCTGTTTCACTATGTTGGCTGTGTGCACAAAGCAGTGTGCAGGAGCTGACGGGAGAGATCTGTTTTGTTTATACACAGGTCTCTCCCCCTCAGAGATACTTGGCGATTGCCAGGTGCTGGCGAGTAATCACCATCCGGGGCCTGGTGATTGACAGCCAAGGCCGCAAATGGCGTAGTGGGTAGGGCGCACGCCCCCCCCCCCCCACTCCCACCCAGAACTACAAAATCACGTATGTATATGTGATTTTGCACACCCATGTGGTCTTGTAGCAGTATTTCTGCTAAAGGGTGACGCGGAACTGGTTGATCTTGTTGGTCTGGAACCAAGATACTGCTTGCTTACTGGTGTTTTTGGGGACATGGTCTTGTCACCCATTAACACCCATTTCAAGGGATTTCCTCTTTGGCATAAGGCAACATGACCTCTTCAAGTATTTTGATGTATTCAAACTGATCCATGATCCCTGGTATGCAGTAAATAGGCCCAACACCGTAGTATGAGAAACATCCCTATATCTTGATGTTTGCACCACCATGCTTCACTGTATTCATAGTGTACTGTGGTTTGAATTCAGTGTTTGGGGATCGTCTGACAAACTATCTGCAGCTCATAGACCCAAAAAGAACAATCTTGCTTTCATCAGGCCACAAAATGTTGCGCCATTTTTCTTTAGGCCAGTCAATGTGTTCTTTGATAACCTCTTCAGCACGAGTCGGTTTTTCAACAATGGGACTTTGAGTCTTTTCCATTTTAGCTATTCTTCAATCCGTTCAAATGGTAGTTTTCCATTTTCTTCTACGTCTTTCTGATTTTGTTTGCCATTTTTAAAGCATTTGAGGTCGTTTTAGCTTAGCAGCCTATCAGTTTCTGCATATCTTTATATATGCTTTCCCCTTTCCAATCAACTTTTTAATCCAAGTACACTGTTCTTCTGAACAATGTCTGGAATAACCAGCATGTAAAACATATGCTGCCTTTGTCCTCACCTAAGGGCCACCTGTTTGACAACTGTTTTTCACAGTCTGAGTGACCTCACTAATTGAACTCCACACTGCTATTATTTTGAACACGCCCCTTTCAATTAATGATTCAGTTACACAGAATCAACAGCATGCATGTTATCATTGTGTTGGGTCTGTTGTTTTTCTATTACTGTACTTACACCTACTAGTAAATTTTTTGCCATGTAGAAATATAATTTATACCAAAAACAGTGACTGATCTGGTTAGTGATGTTTGACTTCTATTATTTTGAACAAAACTACATTATATTTTTTTCACACAAATGCACATCTAAAAACTACATATCTATTTTTAAATGATGCTACAGTGCTCCGCATAAATGACATCCTAATAGATTTGTCAGGACTTTTTTATTCCCGAATTGTTTATGTATTAATAAGATAAATATATTTTCTGCACAATATTGTTATATGTGTGTGTATATATATATGTGTGTGTGTATATATAAGCATGTATTTGTGTTTATACACATATGTGTATATGTATGTGTGTGTGTGTGTATATGTATGTATGCATTTAGCACTTTGTTTTGCACTTTAGCATTTTTTTTTATGGTTTGCATGCCTATATAAGCTTAAGTATTCAGAAAAGTATACTAACGGGGTGTTGGGGAGCACTGTTTAATTCCTTTTATTCAGTTATATTGCTTTGGGTTTCCAGAGAGAAAACAGCTGCTTCCCTTCTTTGTTTCCTTTGGGTTTAGCACCCTTATATATGTCCAGTGGTGCTTTCTATAAGAAGTAATTTTTTATAAATTCAGTTCTGACTATTTATGGTTTAGGCGTTGTAGAGTGCAGGAGATTTTAAAGGGTACCTAAACCTAAGAACATATAGCTTGCCAGTCTTAAAACGGACCCTTTCAAAAATCCTTGATTCCTCAACGAGACAACCTTTACATTTTTTCAGACAACTGCTGCCTTGTAGTTGCGTGTGAACAAGCCTGTTGGGTGTTATGTTTATGTCCTTCGGCTGTTCAATATCAATTTACCTGTGTCAAAATTAAAGCTGTGGGTGATGAATATTGATCCTTATCAAATACCAGCTATATCAAAGATCTAGCAGTTACCCATTCCAGCCAGTTATTAGTTTTCAGCTATTTTTTTTTTGTAAGGCACAACAAAAGCAATGCAATCTGACTGAAATGTTTTTGAGTGGAGTACAACTACACCATTGTTATATGCATGACCGAGCTGTAGACTCTGAAAAGTTAAAATTTTGCAATAATTACAGATTTGTTTTCAAAATGTTTTGTTGTATACTGATTTTTAGTGGTTTTCTTTCATCAGATACTTCTGGGCCCATCTACAGGAATTTCTGGTTCTCTCCCTCCACTCCCTGGAAAAGTATAATTTCCAATTAGTCCTTTAAAAAAAATTTTTTTGATTCGGTTGACTGGGAAACAGGAAATAAAGAATACCGATGCTTCCTTGGTCATCTGCCTCCTTCAGCGCTCTGCATTGAAAACATTTGCTCTACCACTAGTGCGCAATGCTATTTGCAGACAAGGGAGCTTGAGTAGCGCCTGTTTTTTCTGGTATGAATATTGTTAAGGGAGGGGTTAAAGGATAAAAAAAATGCCTGTGGACAGTTCATCTTTAACATGTCGGCCAATCATTCCACAACCACATTGGCACAGACTTGATTATGTATGCTGATACTGATTTGGTGTCATTGTAAAAATATGTATAATGTATGTGGATTATATGCAGGTATGTTGTCAAGGTTTAAATACATGTTTAGCCCCCTAATCTTACACAGTACTGGCGGTATCAGTCTTTAAAGCAGATTATATGTGCCTCCAAAAATCTAGACATATACAGTGCATTTTCTATGTTTGCTAGTCTGGAGTGAGAAAATCACAATTTACACATAGTCTGTGCCTTGTAAGGAACAGTCTGCCTATAATGTGTCAGTTGTAACAAAATTTTAAATTTTTGCATTTGTAAAATTTCTGTTTAAGGATTATGAGGCCACTAAATTCCTGCCTACAGTTAGGCACATGAAAATCGGCATGAATATTTAAAACTCCCATCCAAAAGCAACTGCAGCATACTGTTCATTTACTCTCTCTGCAAGAATGTTATCATGGTATTGCCACTGTTTGACCCAGAGAAGAATGTCCATTTATTCACTGTTTTATTTATATAGCTGTAGAGGCTCCATCCATCTGCAAGACTTGTAAAGCCTGAAGTGATGACTTACTGTAGTTAAATAGTTTAAGATCTTTTTTGTGTTTTCTATTTTATTTTCAAAATATAAAACTACAATGAACAAATATACTTTTGTGTTTATTAAGGCAGTTGTTTTATGTGTCTACAGGAAACATGAATGTACACCTGGATTAAAGACCTAACAGAAGAAATGTAACAAAATAGGGTTGATTTACTAAAACTGGAGAGCGCAAAATCTGGTGCAGCTGTGCATGGTAGCAAATCAGTTTCTAATTTCAGCTTGTTTAATTAGGCATTGACAAAATAAACTGGAAGCTGATTGGTTTCTATGCAGAGCTGCGCCATACTTTGTACTCTCCAAATTTAGTAAATCAATCCCAATGTTAGAAAAGAAAATAATAAGGATATGATATTTTATAACATGGTTTTCACAAAAGTTAGAGTACATGGAAGTGCTCCACATCATCGCTGCACTTTGCAATTTATGTGCATGAAATAACATTTAGGGTACATTCACGCCAGATGTGGCAGAACTGCAAAATTGTCTCCTTGCATAATGCGTGCAGCCACAATCCTGGTATAACCCCTTGCTGTCCAGGATGTTTTTACACGTACTGTGGACATAAAGTAGTTAACCATTTGAATACCGGGCAATTTTACACCTTCCTGCCCAGGCCATTTTTCAGGTTTCAGCGCTCTCACACTTTGACAATTGCGCGGTCATACAACAATGTACCCAAACTAAAATTTTATCATTTTCTTCACACAACTAGAGCTTTCTTTTGGTGGTATTTAATCACCGCCGGGGTTTTTATTTTTTGCTAAATTATCAAAAAAAGACCAAAACTTAAAAAAAAAACACGTTTTTCTTTGTTTCTGTTATAAAAGTTTGCAAATAAATTGTTCTTCATAAATTTAGGCCAAGATGTTTTCTGCTACATGTCTTTGGTGAAAATAACCCAAATTAGGATGTATTTTTTAGTTTGTAGGAAAGTTATAGAGTTCACAAACTATGGGATATATCTGAATATTGATCAATCCTGAAGTACTGACAGCCAATCTAATTTCTTGAGGTCCAAGAATGTCAGAACAGTACAGATATCCCCCAAATGACCCCTTTTTGCAGAGTAGACAGTCTGACGTACTTCATAAGAGGCATTGCGAGTTTTTTGAAGTTTTATTTTTTTCGTCATAATTTTTCGAAAAATGCAAAAAATTATTATTTTTTTTTTTTACATACTGTCACCAGTGCAGTAAGTGTCATCATATAACTGGCATGGCGGTGATCAGGGACACTGACTGGTGACAGTATGGAAAAAAAATATATTTTTTTAATTTTTTTTATTTTTAATTTTTTATTACATTTTTTTTTTCTTTTTTTTAAGATTGTTTTTTCATATTTCACTATGTCCAAAGTAGTACTTGGGGAAGTGATCAGTATTTTTTTTTTTTTTTTTTTACACAATTTGCTTATAGCAAAGAATTACTTTGCTATAAGCAAGCATTTACTTGAATGACATCGATTCATTCAGGGTTTTTTTTTTTTTTTTTTTTGTTTTTTTTGTGCTTAGCTGTGATTTGGCCACAGCTAATCACATGACATGTGCATGTGATTAGCTGTGACCATTCACAGCTAGAGAGTGGTATACAATGGATGGCATGAATAAAGCCATCCATTGTATACAACTGTCATGTGACCTGCTGTGATTGGTCACAGCAGGTCACATGGTACCGGCAATGGGGCCGATACTCAGATCTGTCATGGGCCGTGTCTGAGGTACATGGCCGGTGACAGATCGCGCCGCTGCGTGGCTCTGCAGGAGTGCAAACTGCGCATGTGTGGGAGGATGCCATTTGGCAGCCAACCCGGAAGTGCAGTACATTTTGCCAGCCACCTTTTGGCTATTGGCCGGGGCGTGTACTGGTTAATAGACTCCAAGAAATTGATTTTTCGGTAAGTACAAAAATCCTATTTTCTTTCTCGTTCATTAAATGATGCAGGATCAGAACTAAATTGTGGTGTCCAAAAGTAGTCCAACTGAGTAATGGGCAGCAGCAAAAAAAAGTCCCCATAACAGTGTAAACACTGGGGGTAGCCTGCAGCTCCAAGAGCTGTCTGGGCGATCTTCTGGCTGAACCTTGCATCAGCTGAGGCCTGAATTTACCTGGTAAAACTTAGAAAATGTATGATCAGATGACCAGGTGGTGGAGAAACAGATGCCTGATTCCAGAAAACCCATGAAGCAGATCTATTAGAGTGTGCCTTGACAAGAAAAAGTACCTCCTCTTTAAACTCATAGGCTTGAATGATCATCGTTCTGAACTATTGAGAGATGGTGGAGTGAGAAGCTGTTTACCATTTAGGGCAACATTAAGAATGACTAAATAAAGAATCAGTTTTTCTAATGCACGCACCTGCTGCAAGGCTAGTCCTACACGTTAATCTCTTGTTCAGCCCCTCAGCTGAATGAGAGAAATCAGATTTCCAGTGTTAATTTTGATGTCAAATTTCAATTTAGTTTTAGTCATAGTCTGACTAAAATGGCATTTTAGTTTGTCGTATTTTAGTCGTCTGAATTGTTTGTTTTAGTTGACTAAAATCTACAGTACATTTTAGTCGATTAAAATGTAATGGGTTTAGTTAAATTGTAATGCATTATTTAAGAATTTCTCTAGAATTTCCAAACTCATTATGTACTCCTGGAGTAAAAATCTAATAACGTTATTATTTATGGTAATAAGGTTTGAACATGCACTACAGAAACAGTTAGTTGTTGTGATATATAACCAGTGTTAATTTTGACGACAAATTTCGATTTAGTTTTAGTCAGTCTTTTGACTAAAATGCCATTTTAGTTTTAATTGTATTTTAGTCATCTGAATTATTTTCATTTTAGTCGACTAAAATAGTGTTAAGTTTGTCGACGAAACTAACACTTTAGATTTCCCCATCCACACAGAGTGAAAGGAGGAATCTCCCTTACCAGCTATTGTATTCTGCCAGCCACTGCTCTCATGGCTGCCTGAATACCCAAAACAGTTACTGCATCTGATTGGCTGCTGTCACTGTTGGGTTGAGAATTCCCCACCAGGCTTTGTTTATTTTTCTATGGTGCTAGAATGTTTAGTTGTCAAGATCTGGAATGGATTTGGGCAAACAAGACTATCTTAAATAAAGCTACCATCAAGCCTAGAACTCTCCTGCAAAAGCGAAAAGTGGGAAGGCTCCCGGATAGGAGGGAGTTGGGTATTTGTCTTTTGAAAGAAATTCTTTGGACTGAACAGTATCCAGAATGAGACCCAGGTATGGAAAATCATTATTTGGTTCCAGTGCTGATTCTGGACCAAACAATTGCTTGATAGAGTCAGTGCTGACTGGTCCCTCAACAGGAGATTGACCAGGTATTCTAAAACAGGAATGCCCTAGGAGTGTAGTAAAGCAATACTGGAGCCAATACCCCAGTGAACACTTGGGGTGTGAAGAACAGACCAAATGGAAGGGCAGCAAACTGATAGTATTGCGTGAACTATCACAAAGTGAGGATAGCATTGGTGCACTGGAAATATGAGGACATGCATGTATACATCCTTGATGTTCACAGAGCCTAGAAAATATCCCTGGTGAGGGGATGCAATGATAGACTGTGAATTCCATTAAAAAATTTGTAGAAGTGGATGAAGACAAGAAGGATTTTAGATCCAAGATGAGAACAATGCCGTCTTTTGGTTTGGGAACAGTAAACAGGTTAAGTTAAAAACTCTGAAACTGGTTGCTGGAACAATGGTAATGACTCCCTGACATGAGAGCTTGTAGAGCAGCATGGAGGGCTGCTAGCCTATGCTCAGACACAGGTAGGTTGGATAACCTAAAGCAGGGTGGAGGCTGAGAATAAAACTCTAGCTTGTAGCCTCTGAACCATGTATCCAAGGTGCATGCTGACCAGGTGTCCGCAAAGGTCAACAGACAGCCCCCTCCACTTTGGAAAGTTGGAGCATCCATTCAGTGTGAAGTGGATTTGTTTGCAGGTTTGGATGTTTTGAGAGCCCAGGGGTTGCAGTGGAATGGGATGCCTGTCTTTCATCTGGTTTTGGAATGGGAGACTTGGAGGAAACAAAATTAACTTTTATTTTTTTTTTCTTTTCATCAGGCAGGAAAAGTTTTCCCAGTTTGAGGCCTA